GTTCTGAAGGCAAAAGGGGGTCCAACCCGTTACTAGCGTGGTGTACCTAATAAAGTGGCCGGTGAGTGTATATAAAATGCAACAACTGGCCTTCTTTAAAATAATTAATGTCCTCTTCCACCTTGAAGCCTGAAGTTTTAAGCAAAGCCTTTGTTCAAACTGTTAGCACTCAGACGATGTGTTGACGGTCACCCTCAGTTACTACCACAGCAAATTTGAGCTCAGTTTCTATAAAAATTTACTAAGTTGCAGCCATTTAGCCTTTGCTACGGTTGATTAGCTGTGGCCATCGTGAATTGGGTCTAAGAGTTAATCAGCTGTAGATGTACATCCAAATATTGTTTCATGAGCGTTTCATTAAAATCTGGTTCATGGGATGTTATGCTAACAGATGAGCCAACACAGATGACGACATGATTTAAATACAGAGCCTCACAGAGGAATTTTAAAAGCTTCGTTCCAAGCAGGTACTGATCACACTGATAAAAACTGCACTCTGTTGATCTTAAATTTATGAAGGACGACACAAACTACATGTTTTATTTTCATCTGCAGTCTCATGTCAAAGTTCGACATTCCCATCACATATTTGGGAGTTCAGCAGCTGAATGAGATATTTACGGTGGAAACTTTAGGTTTTCCTTGTGACAGAAAAGAGAAAAATGCTYAAGTAAATATTTCCCTTTAGCACTCATGGTACTACGTGTTGACTTGAGTCTGACAGTTTTTATTTCCCATTTGAAGTCCGATATGAACCAGGTTTATTTTGGGAGCAGAAACTTGTTAAGTTTCTGCCGAGTTTTTAACGTGGTTTTAAGACCAGTCACATCATAGGATCAGAAAGCATTTCTAATGATGTTTGGCTACATTTCACCTCCATGTTCCACCCTGTTTGCCCTGTCCTCCCAGGCCCAGTACTACGGGGTGATCAGCATCGGCACTCCTCCGCAGGACTTCTCTGTGCTCTTTGACACCGGCTCCTCCAACCTCTGGGTCCCCTCCATTCACTGCTCCTTCTTCGATGTGGCCTGCTGTGAGTCGGCTTTCCGCCCACAAAAAAAATTACAGATTCATTATGATTCTGTTGCGTTTAGTTTTAATTCAGTCACACGAAGCAAAGGTTGTTAGACATCTGTAACTGGTTGGATTTTATCCGTCTGTTTTCAAACCCACACTGACTTTGACCACTTTGAGAGAAACTCGGCTTTGATTGCGCGTCTGCTGCTTTCAGGGGTTCATCACAAATACAACTCGAAGAGGTCGAGCACGTACGTTCAGAACGGCACCAAGTTCTCCATCCAGTACGGCAGAGGTAGCTTGTCTGGCTTCATCAGCGAGGACACGGTCTCAGTGAGTCTCACACCCGCCTGACCACATTATTAGTTTTGCCCCTTTTCCACTAGTGCCACTTAGTGTAGTGTTGGTATATGGTTCCAAGCGGTCCCAGTCGACACCAAAATGTGACGTCAGAACACTTTTCATGACTGATTGGCTAGGGGGTGGAGTCACTGGTTGTGTCTGAGCTGCCTTCCCAACAACTCGAGGCGCCACGTTTTCAATTGTAGCAGCATTAGTCATGTTTCCATCCAACTTTAATTCAAATTTTTAGCACATTTTTAACATTTCAGAACTTATTCGGCAAATGTGTTTCCATCTCTTATTTTGCGCATTAACTTTTTTTTTTCGAAAAACCCAAAATCCTCCACCAGCCACCCAAAAACACACCCACTGGAACCGGACTGGAACGTCAATGGAAAAGCACCCGAACTGACCCGTTCTGACACGGACCGTACCGACACTACACTAAGTGGCATTAGTGGGAAAGTGACGTTAATTTTCTCCGCTCCTCACGCCCGTCCTCTCTGCTCGCAGGTGGCAGGCCTGCCTGTGACCAATCAGCAGTTTGGTGAGGCTGTGCAGCAGCCCGGCATCACCTTCGCCGTTGCCCGGTTTGACGGGGTCCTGGGGATGGCGTACCCCTCCATCTCGGTCGCTAACGTCCTCCCGGTGTTCGACACAGCTATGGCTAAGAAGCTCCTGCCCCAGAACCTTTTCTCTGTTTATATAAGCAGGTGGGCGGCAGAAACATTAAAGAAGTGGCTGCATTTTTTGGGGGGAATTATTTTGCTAATGCAGTTTTTCATTGACTGTGTCTCAGAAACCTGACGGCATCAGTCGGAGGGGAGTTGGTTCTGGGTGGGACCGACCCGCAGTACTACACCGGAGAGCTACAATACTTTAACGTGACGAGGAAGGCCTACTGGCAGATCGGCATGAACAGGTGAGAAAAAACAAACTGTAGCGAGGGATAACAGTCCGGGTATGGGTCTCGCTTTGGTTTTCACATTTTAAAACAAAATCGCAAAAAAGAAAACAATCGTGTCGTTAAAATGTGAAATCGAACTACGGTAATTAAAACTCAACACTGTTTGAGTATGTGCTTCATCTGTCAAAATCTAAAATAAAATATGGTTGTTGTATTAATATGTAGCGATACCAGAAATGATAGAAGTCAACAAAGAGGAAGAGTTCATTAATGATGCATTAATAGTCGTGTTTCCATCCAATTTTAATTCAAATTTTGAGCGAATTTTTAAAATTTCACAAAAAGAAAAAACGAAGAAATGCGAATCAGACGCATTTCCATCAACTGGCTTGAAGCGAACCAGTTACGTCAGATTACTGTGTAGTAAACAGGAAGTAAAAGTTGCATCTCAGGACCATGGAGAGAAGCAATCAGGAACGTGTTGCTTCTATTGGGAAAGTTGAAATTATTCTGTCATATCAACTAGTTCTGGCGATGTTACAAGCTGTCTGGAGACGTAGAAAAAAAATGCAATTCTCTTCACATTACGGGAATAACAGAAGATGCAGACAGCGGGAGGAGGGTCCAGCTGCAGTCGCCCTGGTACCGGTACCGTTCAGACAGAGAAAACAGCTGATCAACATGTGAGGTAAATGTTCACTACGTCAGAACTTATTAGGCAAATGTGTTTCCATCTCTCCTTTTGCGCATTAACTCTTTTTCGAAGAAACCAAAAACCACCTCAAGCGAGCGTATCAACTTTTATGCGAATTAGAGTAAGTGTTTTTTTGAATCAAGCTGTTTCCATTCACCTTTTCTGATGCGATACTTCAAAATGCGCATTAAAAAACGTTGATGGAAACACGTCTAATGATGCAGTTCTAGTGGCTGGAAGAAGACTGCTTAAAAACAGAAACAATCTCTAAAGATATTGGCAGCAACTGACTGTTAGTACACATTTTGTTCCATTTCTTAAAGGGACAATATCATATAAAATCAACTTTTATATCATGTTATAATGTTATCCTCTCATCAAAAACATGCCCAGAGTCTTGCTTTGACATCCATGCATGTTTGAGAAATCCTGTGCTGTCCTGAGGCAGCCAGGCAGGGGAGCAAAACAACCAGTTGGGACTAGAACCGCGTTTTGGGACCAGCTCCTCCTCTGGYCTGTGTCTCCAAGCTGAGCTTCTTCATCACAGAGCACACACACCCAGCCCCGCGCTGAAATGGGCCGGACAGAAGCAGAAGGTGGTTCTTAAAAGAGACAGAGGCCAATTTCAAGGTGTTTAGAAACAGATATGATGAGAAGTCAAGTTTATTTTCTATTTAAACATATAAACAAAATTTTAATAATAACTGAAGGTGACATATATACTTTATTAGGGTATATAATTTAAATATACGCCTGAGAAACACATAATATTGGCCCTTTAAGATGAAAAGTACTTGACGAGAAATGTTGACCAGACTAATTGTCGAGTTAAAACTGATCCAATTGATGTTTTTTCCTTTGTTTGACCTACACTGATGTTTCTTCTTCTCTAACCTCCTCTGCAGCGTTGATGTTGGAAATCAGCTGACCCTTTGCAAAACCGGATGCCAGGCAATCGTCGACACAGGAACGTCCCTGATGGTCGGTCCTGCAGCAGAGATCAAAGCGCTGCACAAAGCCATCGGAGCTCTGCCCCTGGTGATGGGAGAGGTAAAACTGGATCGTGTTTGGTTTGTTTGTTTAAAGGGTCTCCGTTTTCTTTTTGATATTTAAAGTCATGATGRGTTCTGCTTCCCATCAGTACTTTATTGACTGCAAGAAGATTCCATCACTTCCTGTTGTTTCATTCAACATCGGAGGGAAGATGTTTAACCTGACCGGGGAGGATTATGTCCTGAAGGTATTAACTGGTCAATATTCCACAGAAACACACACTGTTATTTTATTTTATTGTGTCAACAAAAACTGAGCTGAAGGATGGATGTTAAATCTTAATATGAAACACTGAGCAGAGCTGTCAGCTCATACTAACATACGGGAAACTGAGACACCAAGCTGACCTTTGACCTGTGGYGAAGTAGAGTTCAGTTTTTAGCTTGTTTTGGTCAGACTTAAACTTTATATCTCCAACGTGAGGCTGTTCAAAAAGCTTCAGTGTCTACAACAGGTAAGATATTAACTATTCACCTTTCTACAGAACCATACTTCATCAGAGGGATAGTTGTTGCTTGGTTGGCCGACATGTCATGAACCGTTGAGGTTACTGTCAGTCCATCTCTGGGTTTGAAACTTTTACAGTTAAACATTAAGGTCTGGGCTTCGTGGGGCAACATTTTACCGTTAGGCACAACTTTCCTGCTCTTGCAGAAAGACCATTGCACTGTCGATGGTACATTTGGCAACACGTGGAGCTGAGGGAGAAGAAATGGAGAAGTCTGATTTCTTAATTGTGAAATGTAGCTGTCTTTTAATCCTGAAGTTGCAGGTTCGAGTCCAAGTTGTGTCAGGGAGGGCAGCGTGTGTGAAACATTAAATCTATAAGCTGTCTGGGTACTTTTCATTATAGGTTTGTTGCTAACGTATGTACAGTAGAAGCCCCTTTCCGTCACATAAAACTAAGAGTCATGTGTGTCATAAATATATAATTCTAATTTTGCATTTGTTTCCTGGTTCTTCATTCGTGCTGAAGTGACTAAAGACAAATTCCTCCAGCTGGTCATAAAATAAATGCGGTCGGCCACTCCACCGCTTAGCTTATGAAATATACGGTGGAGGAAAAAAAAGTTACGGATTTTTTTTACTCTGATATATAATCACAAACTACAGGATATATCATGTGCTGACCGGACAGAACATCAGTACCAGTAATATTTACACAGTTCAGCCTAGTAGTGGTAAAAGTAATTTTACTGTTGTCCATTATATTTACC